TCCAACCTATGAGCCAATGTATTCAGAAGATAAAACGACTGAAACTGGTTTAACTAAAGATGTATCTGGAAATAATGATGTGCAATGTATCAAAAAGGTGATGCAAGTAGAGGAAACTGTTTATGATACTATTCAGAAGTGTACACACTCATTTGCAGAGAAATGTCATAAAACCTTCATCACTGATTATGCACCAACTCAAGAGGAGAAATGTTCCACAAGCTTTGAGAAGAATTGCCATATCACCTACCAACCATTGGCCTTTGATGAGAAGGTTGAGATTTGTGATGAACCCTTGAAGAAGTTTTGTAATGAAACTGTAGTAGGAGAAGAGGTGTGTAGGACTGAGTTTGAAACTTCCTGTGAAACCAGGTTAAAGAACCATACTGTAGAGCAGGATGAACCTGTCTGTGAAATGGTGATGGAGAAGAAGTGTGAGGCTGTGGTAGTAGATAATCTAAATCAGTCAAACAATAGAAGAAGAAGGCGATCAGTTGCTAGAATAGAAAATGGAGAACAATTTACCCGTAAGACTGATAACTGTGAAGAATGGCCAGTACAGAAGTGTACCCTGGAGAAGAAAACTGTCACTAAATCCACTCCTGAAACTTCATGTAAGAAGCATCCTAGAAAAGTTTGTGCAACTTCCAACTGTGTTTTTGTCAAGAGTGAGAAGACCTGTAGAGAGGAAACAAGAAGTTTTGTTCAGAATATTCCAAGTGAGGATTGTGACCTGGAGCCTAGGGAGACCTGTAAACTGGAAACAGTTCTAGTTCCACGTTTAGTTGAGAAACCTAACTGTGTTCAAGTTCCAAAGGAGATTTGTGTTGATATCAAGGCTAATCCAAGGAAGGTATCAAAGCCTGTTATAAAGGAATGGTGTTACCGTCCTAGTGATTTTGGTACTGCGGCCACCAAGGAAGCATTAGATCTTGTAATAAAACAGCTCTGAGATAAAGATGATGTATTGAAGAGTTGATCTACAGAACCTGGGCATTAGACATTATACAACCTCAAATCACAGTCTTACAAGTAGAGTTTTATAAGACCGTTTTAAATATCTTTTTTTCAATCAATGATAAAAAATAATGTAATGTAATATGTTTGCAATAAATCTTTTTACTTTTTACTATTCAATGATTATACTCTAAAAATGATGGGAAATAACTTCAGATGGTTTTACTAGAACTTTTTTGGACTTTTAAAAGGTTCCACCAAATGTATTCCTGTGAAGGTTCCAACATTTTAAACTGTAATCTTTTAAAATTAGGTTTTATTAAACTTTTTAAAATTGGCATTGGCATAAAATTATAAGGAAAAACAAGTAAGGAGAACAGTTATCAAAATAAACAATTGGAAAACAATGGGGTTTGGGTAGACAAAGATAGTTTCTAATGTCGTATTCTTTAGAAATCAAGTATGTATTCACCCTGTTGACGTTTCATAATGTTTTCTTTTGTAATGGATTAAATAGTTACTTAAAAGCAAAAGAAGGTAACCACTTTAGTTTTCTATCTTGAAATATTCAATTTTTCCAAAGTCCATTCATCACTTTTTAAGATTAAAAAAACGACGATATCTTCCTCATTGTTACCCAGATAAATGTTTAAATTGTACTGTTGTTGATAGGACCTTTAATGGGTTAGAAACTTGAAATTACATCTATCAGTCCCAATTAGAACATTTACTATTGGTAAGCAGAAAGTGTTCATAAGAAGAAAATTAATGTCTCTCTTATGCAAGTAACCTTGTACTTTTTAACAGTAGTCAATTTTCTCATTACTTTGCTTGGCAGTGGCACCGACGAAACTGAATTTATCAGAATTATTCATTGAATTTGTAAACATAAAACTCCTGAATTTGAAGACGAAATTTAGACAATCTGCATGTTCACTGCTCATTGCGGTATTTTATGTTCATTGGACTATTAAATCAAAAATTGAGTCTAAAAGTGATCTTTACATTCCCCAGTTTTATTTTCACCAATGTTTTTCTTTATTTCGCCTTTTTAAAATCCTCCAATATTTCATTGCATAAAACCTTTTATAATTAAATTTAAAAGACTTCTAAGTAAAAGGTCACCATTTAATTTACATTTTTAACGAAACTTTCTGTGATAAAATCCCCATAAATCAATTGAAGAGTAAGATTAATGTATTAATTTATGCGATATTATTTCTTTGCCAAAGATTAAACATAAGACGACATTTACACAAAATTTATTTATCGTTTATAATATTGGAAATTTCATTTCCCCTCTCTTCTTCATCGCCTAAAATCCTATTCCTTAAAACCTCAGAAAAAATATTTAACGACATCTGAAAATGTTCACTAACAATTATTTGCTATTTTTGATACAAAAGAGATGCGTAACTTAATTACTATTTTGCTCTAATTCAACAGACGATCCTCATATCCAACAAATGATTGAATAGATTTTAAAATACAAATTAATATCATTAATTTTAGTTAATTTTTAGCACAAAACATTCACAATTATTATTTTAAAGTCGATCGTTAGACTCTCAAACAACCAAAATAACCAATGACGTCAAAATAAAGCTGTACAGGCGTACACAATACTCGGATAAATTTCCAACGCCTCGACTTTATAATTTAGCAAAGTCTTTAATATCATTCAGTACCAAGGTACTATTGCATTAGTACCTTGCTCAGTACAAAGTTAAGGGATTTGCAGTGAGGACAAAATATTATCTGCACTATTATCATTATTATTATTATTATTATTATTATTATTATCATTATTATTGTTATTATTATTATTATTATTATCATTATTATTATTATTATTATTATCATTATTATTATTATTATTA